AATGTTAACTAACTTTTGGAGTTGATTTTTAACTCCAAAAATTTTTCTCTCAACTTTGGTTGCCATTAACTCCCAAAATTTTTTACAGTGTAATTAAAGATACTATCAATTGATGCAAGAAATGAATTTTTAACGTCCCGTGTAAAAAAAAATTGGTAATCTCAAAAATATCTTAAAGTTACATTATTACACTGTAAAATATTTCGGGAGTTAATGGCAACTGGAGTTGGGAGTAAAATTTTTGGAGATAATAATTAAATGCAAAAGTGATCATTTTCAGGTAAAAATGTATCCCCCCAAAAAAGATACAAAAGAATTGTAATAGAAAGGGAATTTAAAAAGATTGATTAATTTATCATTTTCTATGGAAAGGCAAAAATTTTCAATACTTTTTAATTTTTCACTTCTTACTAGGATAGGGTGTTTGTCGCGTTAGTAACGAAATTATAGCACTTTCGACGTAAAAAGGGAAACAAATTCGCCCAAAACGAAAGCGTGAGACTTGCTTACATTAAACGCAAAGATTGAAATTAAATTTTTCGCTTAACATTTCTTTCACTATATAGTTATGAATCTATTTTTCAGTTGTGTTTAATTTTGTTGACATTAAACAATGAATGATGGCCACTAAAACTGTAAATACCATATAATAATGCAAGATACTTGACTCATCTAATGAACATAATAATTCTAAACAAATTGTAGTTTAAATTTATATTGATCCATTATTTTAGTTCTCTGTTTATAATTTTCACCAATTATTACCGTTCTATAACTATAGCTTCATTATCTTTAAGAAAAGAACAAGAATTCTCCGGAGAAGAAATAGAAAATAAATAGCAATGAATATATATATATATATATATATATATATATATAAAATTATTAAAAAAGATTGTACAAAACAAAAGAATGAAAATCATCAGAACATTATGAGAGAGAGAGACATATTTCGATGTTGTTAATTCTTGAAGTAATCTAAACCCGATTCAGCATCATTCTCCGTATATATAATCAGGTCATGATAATCATAGGAGAGGCGTATTTCAACCACATTCCCAAATACCGTTTAATTTCATTTTCAACGCAGCTCTACTTTCCCCTATCAATTGTCAAAGCGCAAAAATCAGAGCATTGTCGTGTGCATCGGGCATGGAATAAGCTGAACCTAGAGCCATTTTAGTATATATATATATATATGAATGTTGACAGCAAATAGGATCGCAATACGTTTTGCTGGAGCAAAAGCAACAGTAGGAGTAGTTGTAGTACGTTAAATGGCAATAGTGATCATATAAGGCGTATACTTTGAGACGGGATGGACAGCGTGCGTGCTCTACATCCGTGACACGGTTCTCGTGGTGGGTTGGGTTCTTGGTTAAGTCTCTGGTTCCCCTCAAAGTATGTATACATGTATATATATATTCATATATACTTCTTGTATACATTACTATATACAATACTGGCCACAATTGTCAGAGTCAACTAAAAAAAGAATTAAAATTTGAATTAGTAAAAATTTTAACTTGAATTAATGATTGACTTGTTACTATATGAATTAATTAGCTCTAAGACTATGGGATCCAAAAGACCTAGTACTCAGAGAAAAATTTGTTTGTAACAACCAAATCAATGCAAACGTTTCGTTGATTCAACTAAATTATTCAATTGAATATACTTGTATTAGAATGAACCAAATGATTTATTGTATTTGACTAAATTTTAATCTTAATCGAAACCAAAAATTTTTTTCCTTACAAGTAAAAAAGTTGTTTGATTCAAATCAATTATTTTATCAAGTCAAGTTGGTTCATTTATTTATCAATCGAAATGTTACTTTTGCTTTGAAAAATGAGACGTAATATTTTACTTTTTAATTTATATATAGGTATTATAAAATATAGAGGAGGATGGAGTAAGGATAGTTAGGTAAGACATTTTTGGATCTAGCAGCTAAAATTCAACAGGCATTGGAAAAAGAACCCGAGTCGAAATTTTTCCCTCTTTTCACCCTCGATTTTCTCAACCTCTTTTCAGCCTGAAATCATGCGTTTATTTCCAAATCTGCATGTTTAGAGGTTGAAAAGAGGTTCCTCCTAAAAGTTTTATAGTATTACGATAAAAACCAATAAATATATCTTCAATAGGGTCCACAAATGATATCGCATCAAGATCAAATTTTTCTTGACGTCTTTTGGTATTAAAACAAGTATATATGATGAATGGTGCCCTTTTTGAACAAGCCGTGTAGGCAATAGAGCCCCATCCTCCCCTATTAATATATAGTCAAAAATATAATTGTACACACATAAAATTTTTGAAGAATTACACAACTGCTATCACTGCTGCAGCGCTTCATATATTTTTGATGAAAAAAATTATAAGGTTAAATTAAGCTGGGTAAAGTAGTAGCCCAGATAGCACGTGAGCTAACTTGCGGCAAGCTTGCCATGCCATATTGCTAATCTTGCACGGCAAACTTACCGCATGCTTACTGAAAGCTTCAAATGTCCCACCTGACCCAAGCTTGCATGGTAAGCCTACCGAAAGATTGCAGTGTAAGGTTACTGCAAGACTGCATATGATAATCACAAGATTGCTCAGTAAGCTTGCACAGTAAGCTCGTAGCAAGTTTGGTGCAAGGTTACCAACTAACATTATTTTTAACCTAAAAAAATTTTTCAAAAAATGTTTCGTCTAATTTATACAATTTTATCATATAAAATTGATTATATAAATTAGACGAATCATTTTTTAAAAAACAATTTTTAGGTTTAAAACAAAGTTATTTCGCAACCTTGCACCAAACTTTCTATACAAGCTTACAGTGCAATCTTGCGATAATCTTATGGTGCAATCTTGTAGTAACCTTACACTGCAATCTTTCGGTAAGCCGTGAAAGGTTGGCAATATTGCGCGGAAAGTTTGCTGCAAGTTTACTGCAAGATCGTAATTCAATAAAGAATATAAATATAACCCCACTAGATAAGATCTTTGACATAGAATGCATATCAATTTCCTAAAAGATTTTATCCACGTAGCAAACCAATACGACATGAAGGTGGAAACAATTCTCTAACTTCATGTTTGCCAACTGTTACTTTAAAATAAAATAATTTACAAAAAAATTATTTGATTAAACATTTTGATTATTCGAATAAATTTAACCTGAATCCATAATTTTTAACTTCATACTTTTAAATTTCTATTTTTTAATTTTACCAGCAAAACAATTATACTAATCTAAATCTTTCAAACTGATACAATTTTATTTAAGTTACCGAGTAGCTAGAAATTTTTTTTAAGTGAATGTACACTAAAAAAAAGATTTTTTGTTTGCAACATAATCGTTTGGTTAGGCAATTTTGGTTCTTGTAACCAAATTTTGGTTGACTGAAAAAAAGTCGTAGAGTTATCTCAACCCAACATTTGGTGAGGCCAACAAAATTATTTCCTTGAACATTTTTAAATTTCAACCAAAATTTAGTTACGACAACAAAATCGTTTGGTCTGAAAATCCAAATGATCGTTTGTTGTCATTAACAAAATTTGGTTACGACAACCAAATAATTTAATTCGCTCTCAGCTCGTACCTGAAGAGAACAATTAGTTTAAATCTCTCACAAAGATGGGTAGTCCAGTGGTGAGAGCTCACGACTCGCAGTTCAAATGCAGAAGTTCGATCCCAGGTGGAGATGAGATTTTTCAAAGTCCACAAATATTTCAATTGGATAAATATAAATTAAACTTTAAATTGATCTCTGTAAATCTGAATTAGTAAAAATGTTTACTAATTTGAATTAATGACTCACTTTTTGCTTCTGAATTAGTAAAATTTTACTAATTATTAGTAACTTTTAATAACAATTAGTAAAATTTCACTAATTCAGAAGCAAAAAGTGAGTCACTAATTCAAATTAGTAAACATTTTTACTAATTCAAATTTAGAGAGATAATAAATAAATAATAAATTAAATAAAAAAGATAAAAGGAAATGAAATAAGAGTAAATAATTTTTAATTCTACAAAAAAAAAAAACTGTTGGTATGATCAACCAAACAGTTTTGTTGAACTAGCAAAAAAATTTGGTTGAGCTAACCAAACATTTTTGTTATGACAACAAAAAACACTCAACCAAATTTTTTGGATGAGTCAAATAAATAGTTTGATTGCTTAAATAATATCAAAATTTTTTTGTTGGCCCAACCAAATTTTGGTTGCTCTGACTAAACATTTTTCTCAGTGTAACTTCAAATCTCTACGTAGCGGAATCTTTGTAGCGCTGTTGCTATTCGTAATTACGCTACAGAATCTTTTAAAATAAGCTCATTAATAAGTTTTGAAACAATTGATAATAGGCTTTTATAATAATTTTTATCTATGAGGTCTAATAGACCATAGTCTAGGAAATACATGTCTCTACTCAATTGTGGCACTAATTTATTAGTAAAAAAAATTTTTTTTTCACAATTCAATGGTAAAATTTAACTAATTCACAGTAAAATAATGGTCAGTAATTGAAAGATGTTAAAATTTTTACTAATTCAGATTTAGAGAGCATTTTTTTTTTAAAGAGAGTGCGTGAATATTTTCGCCTTTCAATATGCACGTACATGACCCGCTGTGATACTGTATATATATATATATATATATTTTCATTGTATCTTGTTTTGCGGGAACCAGTTCACTTCATATATGTACAGATATATATATATATATATATATATATATATATATACAAAAAAAGAATTCATACCCTCGCAACCTTGCTCGCGAGAGATGTGCGGAGTTTTTCGTCTCTCTTTATCTTCTTTTCTTCATTCACGCGGGTAGTATATAGAGAGTATATACACACATTGGGAGTCTCCCCAGGACTCGAATGCGAGCGAATCATTCCCACCATCGTGCCACCACAACTCCACCTTCATGGTGGAGGCGAATTCACGTACTCCTCGTCTGTAATCTACTAAGCGAGATCTACGTATATAAAGTGGCATGGGGAGAATTGCAGTTCAGAAGCCTTGCTACGCTCGTTCACGCATCCCAAAAAAAAGGGTCTCCTCCGTCAAGGGAGAGAGAGAGAGAGAGAAAAAAAAGACAGAAAACCGCGAAAGGGTCGAAGGTTACGAAGTGTGTGCTTCGTCGCGCATCCTTAACTTCGAGAGGATTCGGAAATTACGTTTACTCGAGGTGAGTTGTGTTCTGACAATCGAGTGAAAAGTATTTTTAACGTGTTTTGCGAAATTTTTTGGTTTTTAATTTTTTCTGTTGTGCTTCGTTGGAATATTATTTCAACTTTTCGTACGGAATTCTGCGATATTGTTTTTTTTTTTTTTTTTAATTTACGAGTTTTCTTTTTTTTTTATATAAATTTCAATCCAAACAAGAAGGAATTACTGGATCGTGTTGTTGAAATATTTGAGGATAATTAATTTATTACATTAAATATAAACTATATAATATAACTATATTTATACATATATAAAATATATGTAATGTTGTAATTTTCATTTAACTTTTTTTTAATGATCGTGTTTATAGAAGTTTATTGTTTCTTCTTCTAAATGAAGCGATTAGTTTTGTCGTTAAACTCTGCTTGAAGCTTGATAATTTTTGTGCTTTCTATTTACATAATTAGTATTTCATTGTTAGAAATTATTATTATTATTATTATTAATATTATTCATAATTATGATCATTAATATTATTATTATAAATAATCCTTACCTATATCTAAATTCCATAAGATTATTTTTTCTCTTAATGTACTATAATAATTAATTATAAACAAATTTAATTAAATGTAAACTAAATTTACATGTAACAAGTTAATTTTTAAAAATTACATTTTTTTATAACTAAATGTTTTGCAATATAGTATTCACAATTTTTTATTTAATTTAATTAAAATTTTCGTTTTAATTTTTATTAAAAAAATATATATATAATAATTATATTCAGTGATAATTGTATACAGAGTGATGAAAATGTATAGGACCTTCTACAAATATATATATATTTTTTTTTTAATTGACTATTTTTTGGTTTTTGAACAAAAATATTTAGAATTTAGAAATATTCTTTTTTTTAAGCCTGAAACAATTTTTATCTCTTTATAGAGAAGAAAAGCTAAAAAATAAATAAATTATAGATGAGAAAAAAATAGTTAAAAATATTACTTGAATTTTTTTTTTTTAAAGCTGAAAAAAGATGAAGACGATACTGGGTCTATTGCTGATATCCATTGTGGGATTGACATTGGCCAACCCTGTGGAGAAGCTCGACAAAATTAGCGTCATTGAGCAGCAGTCCGTGACGGTGAACGATCGTGCAAAATATGAAGAGGAACTTTTACGAAAACTCAATGTAAAATGTTCACAGAATGATATTAACAGTTGTGTAATGTTGAAACTTGTCACATATATGAATCGATTATTAAAGAAAGCTTCCATTGAACTTACCGATGACATTGAAATAAGAAAAACGAGTCAAGCAACAGAGGAGGTAATTACATTTGAGGCGGGCAGAAGCAAGGATGATGAGTCCGAAATTTTTGATTTAATCGCCAATAAAGTTTATGCTTTCGTGAAATCACGTAGCATCAAATGGCGAATATTGCCGGATGAAGACGTTGTTGTTTCCGCTTCTGAGGATGAAACCGGATCTTTCAGCCTTGGCCTTTCCATTGAACGTGCTAATGACGCTGTTCAAGATGGTAATTATATATTAATTAAATTTTTATAATCTACTTTTTTATAATAATTAACATTTTATTTTTCTTTACTACTTTATTAAGTATATTTTATTGTTAACTAATTTTAATTATATTACTTTTTTAACAATAACAATCTCCAGCAATATTTAAACAATCTTTTTAAATTATGTTTTTAACTATTTTCATTTTTTCGGATTTTTCAATAATTTTTTTAAAAAATTAGTTTTGATTTGCATTTTTATTTATTACTTTGATTAATTTTTTTTTTACTTTATATTAACCTACAATAATTCAAAAAAAAGAATAAAGAAAACAAAATAAATGAAACAAATCCAACAATATTGAAAGTAAAATAAAGTTAACTGCAAGTGTTTAAAATTCCCGCATGAATGTGAAAGATTTATTGGATGAATCATGTTTTATTAAAACGTAATTTATCGTAAAAACTTAATGATGTTAATACTCGTCAACAAGAAACCGCGACAAATTCACGATACTTCAATCATTTCCCTTTTTCTTTCATGAATAATGTCATAAAAATTTCTCTTTCACTTCGCCGCGCTAACGGCATCTCTTGTCATAAAATTGTCACCAAGTCTGGTTAACCGCAAAAAAAATTAAGTATTTGAGAAGCCTACTGTAATCCTATATGAACCTGCTTTGACTCTGCTTTGAACTAATTTTGATCTTATATTGTTGATCCTATTTTAGTCTTACATTTTTGATCCTAATTTGATCCTTTATTGAACATACTTCAATCATATCTAGCACCTTCGTTCAACCTACATTCAACCTACATTGACCCTTCGTTGAAAGGGAATAATTTTCTATGCTACCTTAAACCTATAGTGAATTTGATTCGACTCTATTTTTGACTCTACATTTAAACTACTTTTACCCTACCTTGAACGTACTTTGATTCTACCTTGACTTTGATTTTGCATTGAATTCAGTTTAAGCCTACCTTGAACATATTATGATGCTACATAGATCCTAACTTGAAACTGCATTAATCTTTTTTTGATCCTACATTCTGTTTTAAACCTACATTGAATCCATGTACTTTCCTGAGTCAAAATTTAAATCCTCTTTAGCTCCCCTTAGAACCTAAATAGACCCTCTTTTGGATCTTGTAGACTCCCGTAGGCCCTCCTTTGAATCCAAACGTGGAAGAAAGGGAAATTTGCGACTGGTTGAAGAAGCTAAAGAGGGTCTGTTAAACCCTACTTTACTTCTTATAAAGTAGGCCTTAAATTTTGCCTCGGGTTGTCTCTAGTTTTATCCTACATTGAATACATACCAATTCAACATTAAACCTACCTCCTGCATTGATCCTACCTTGAATCTACATTAAACCTATTTTAAATCTACATTGATTCTACTTTGACCCTTTGTTAACCTACTTAGACCTTATTTTGATCCTACATTGAGCATACATTCGACAATAACCTACCGTACTATTACATTGATTCTATCGTGAACCTATGTTAACCCTATTTTTATCCTACATTAAACCTACTTTGACCATTCGTTGAACCAACTTAAATCATATTTTGATTCTACATTGAACCTCTTTAACCATACATTGATTCGAACTTTTAACTTACCGTACTCTTTCATAAAATCTCCCGTGAACCTACATTAAACCTATTTTGATTCTACATTAAACCTACTTTGACCCTTCGTTGAACCTACTTACCTACTTACTTATTGATTCTACATTAAACCTATTTTTACCCTACATTGAACATACATTAATTTGATATTTAACCTACCGAACTCCTACATTAAACCAACCATGAACCTATGTTAAACCTATTTTGATCCTACATTTAACCTACTTTGACCCTTCTTTGAAGCTATTTAGAACCTCACTGTAAAACGAGAGGTATTAAATTAATACCAACTTTAGGTACTAAATTGCCTTTTGGTTCTATTTTAATACCTAAAATCGGTACTATTTTAGTACCTTCTTTTTACAGTGCTACTTTGATCCCACTTTTAATCTACCTAGAACCTATTTAAAGCCTATAGTAAACAATAAACTTATTTGAAGCCTAAATTAAATTGTCACGTATTTTTTTTTAAGGTCGTGGAAAGAAGAATAACATGGGACCACTATTGGCGGCCGCTGTCTTAAAAATTGGCCTCATTGGCGGTTTGGCATTCAAGGGTCTTGCTCTTCTTGTTGGCAAGGCACTTCTCTTGTCGAAAATCGCTCTCCTCTTGGCCGGTATCATTGGTCTCAAGAAACTCTTTTCACATCAAAAACACGTGACCTATGAGGTTGTGGCACATCCACATCATAGCTCGAGTCACAGTGTCAGCGAGGGTCACGGTCACGGTGACAGTTATTCAAGTGGTTGGGCAAGAAGTTTCCACAATCAACCACCATTGGCCGGCGTGCCTGACGCACAGGAATTGGCCTATTCGGCTCATACGAAATGAGACAATTGCCTAGACAAAAACCTTTGACCCTGGGTCTCAGGGCAGAATTAACTGCCAAAAGGAAACCTGACTTCCGGGATCTCAATGATTGTTATTATTATTATTTATTTTTTTTTAAATTTTTTTTTGGATTCGACTTGAAAGAAAAAAACCAATATGCACCTGCACTCTCTTGCCGTTAAAAATTTAAGTTATAAATTATAAATCGACTCCGCCCCCTACCCTTGTCATCTGCCTTGGACATTTGTTTTAATCACATTCATAAGCCATTTTTTCCTCCCACATAACCAGAAAGAGAGTGTGTGTGTGTTCTCAATCAACGATATTGAGAGCAGGATATTATTATTATTATTGTATTTTTTTTGTACTTATTTATTTATCATTAAGGACGGATGGACCCGGACTTTGACTCGCACTAGTGGACAGAATCGACCTGTATTTACGGACGTGAATTAGCCAAGGTGTTCCTTCTTTTTTTTTTTTTTCTTCAGAATTGTGAGCATTAAGGTGCGTTTATGCTATATGCATGCACGCACTGCTCACCTACTTTCTCGAATCGAGATCGTTTCAGTGAATTGCCTTTGCAATATATTCGCTTATCTCAGACACATAACTGATCAAGGTTGGGATTAACGAACGAAAAACTGTATTTAAATGACTCGCTTTATCGACGGGACTATACGAGTGACGTTTACTACTGATTATACATTTGTAGACAATTGACGGGACATTTTTTTTATTTTTTCGAAGACAAAGTTGAAAATACTTTTTTCTCTGCAAGAATTTAATTTAGGGAAAAAAAGTGAATAGAATCAAAAGACTTTTTTGAGAAAGTTAAAAATAACTTTTCTTTGAAGTTGAGTTTTGAAAATCAATTTGACTTTTTGTATTAAAGTGAACTTTATCCCTTTGAAGGGGTCTAGAAACTTTTTTCTAAAAGTGTATCATTTTTTTTAAAAGTCTTTCAAATTTTTTTTTTTTATGTCTAAAAACTATTTTTGAAAATCAAATTAAAAGAGTCAAGAGACTTTTAAGAGTTAAAATACATTTTTCGAAATAATTTTTCATAGTAAAAGAGGCTTTTTTCAAAGTTTCTCAAATGAATTTTTGAGTCAAAAATTTTTTTTAATACAGTAAAGAGACTTTTTATTGAAAGTAAAGACTTCTTAAAAGTTAAGATTTATTAAAAACCTTCAAACGACGTTTCGAAAATCATAAACGATTTTCTGTAAAGAGACAAATGATTTTTCAAAACTAAAAAGAATTTTTAATAGTCAAGGGACTTTAAAAAATCAAATCGCTCTTTAGAAGTTTAGAAAAACGTTTTTTGTTTGTATAAATTTTAAATGATTTTTCTTGAAATTAAAAAAAAAACTTTTACGAGAGCCAAAGGACTTTATAAAAGCAGTGAAATAGAGTTGTTGATATATTATATTTATTTTCTGAGCGACTGAGCTGACTGATGGTCACGGGACCTGACAATATTACCAATGACCCTTACGACAAGTGACAATTTATAGAACACAATTCACCTGAGACAAGTATTGTAGATTGAATGTAGTTAGCAAAACCTATACGATGTAACGCGTAACTTCCCCCTCATCGAAGCTAATTAAGGAATTAACTTATTTTTCTCCTCTTTCACGAGAGTGAAAATTGTATCATAACTTTTCTTGTTGTCCATTGTGAGAATAAATATTTATTGTTTTTTATAAAAAAAAATACATTGCCTTCGAATTGTATCATTATACCAAAATTTTCAGATTTCAAATAATATTGCATATAAAAGTGGTGAAAAATTTTCATTTATATATATTTTTTTTTATTTTTTTTTTGCGCTAAATAAGTATTTGCCAATAATGAATAATATTTTACAAAAATAATATTCGGTTAAAAAAAAGTGTAAATATTTATTATTGAAAAAGGTAAATTGTAGTTAAACTGAATCAACAAAAAAATTATCCCTCTCCAATTTAAGGAAAAAAAAAATATATATATATGTAATTCTATCGAAAAATATAATTATTGTACATTATTTTTTTAGCATATAACTTTCTAATTATATGGTAAAGATTATATTTTCCCTTTACGCGTAGTCTGTGTTGAGATTTAGAAATTTAAATCCGGCTCAGAAAACTGGATGAAATCTTTAATCAACACGGATTTAACAATTTTATATTTATGAAACTGTAACGATCTATTAACATACAAAAATGGATATGTACATAATGTAAAAATTTGGTGAGTGATTTTAATTATAAAATGTTGTTAGCAATGATGAACAAGGTAAACCACTTTATATATATATATATACATTTCCGTTTCAAAAAGAGGCAGGAGAAGAAGAAAAACTTGAAATGTAACAGGAAATTCTAAAATAGGAAAGTTTAAGTGAAAATTGAGTTTATCAGGGAAAAAGTTGAAGTTGCACGTTCCAATAAGTACTTAATTTATAAGTGAATATCTCTTGCGTTTTAGTCGTGCCACACTTTGTGGTTGTGTGTTAAGTCAAGCAGGACAAATAGAGAGAAATATTTGTCAGTCTATAAATTCGATAGTGAAAGAGGAAATATATTTATATATATATATATATATAATGTGGATCAAATCCTTGAGTGAATGTAAAAGGAAGAGTTTTAATGTAACTCATCATTTAAAACACTTGATTCAGTTTATCTTCTGGTATTTTAAATTCGTTCATTATTCACGCTATAAATTTTTTTATTATTATGATATTCAATTTCTATTATTTCCAGCATGAAGTCTGTACTATTTACATTATTTATGCAAACAAAATGAATTATCATTGAATTATTTCGTAATAAGAAATGTCATGCATTTTTTTTTCAATACTTTTTAAGTATTCTAAGGTAAGTAGATAAATAAATTTAATTTATCATTTAAAGTTATTGAGTTTTGTTTGAGATTATTTTAAATTTTATTTCTAAGTAACGTTAATGGGTGTCTTATTTTAAAACATAAGACACTTAAGAAACGTCTTAAAATTATTTCTACTTGATCCATTGGTTAGGAAAATATCTGAGACGTTCCATTATTGATCGAAATCTAAGACATTATAAAATGTCTTGAAAATCAGGTCTTAAAATACGATATCGGTTTTTTCAATATTGGAAAATTGTTGATAAATTTTTCAAATAAATTTAAAATTATTTAAATTTGTGGGAGTCAATATTATTTTTAAAGAAATATAAATAATAAAAAAAGGTGAAAAAATCTGCGGTACTTGGAAAATTTGCAAACTAATTTTAAAGTAAAATATTATTGATGTATATTGGAAAGTAATTTGAATGTTACAATTTTGTTAAATTTAAATTTTTATTTCATTTTATTGTTTATTGGCGTTAATTTATTAGCATTGAATAGAGCACACGTTTTACGCTGAATGAGTAAATAGTATGTGCAAGTGGGAAGAAGTTACTGTAAACTGGTAATCTGGAATGATGCTGCGTTTCAAAGTAACTTCTTGAAAAATTCAAGTTTAAGTTTGGAAAAAAAAATGAAAATTCAATTTCAACGGAATTTGAACGAATAAGTTCTAAGGATACAATAATAGGAGATTATTAAAATTAATGTAAAATAATAATTAATGAAAATACAACATCTTTTATTCTTTACCTCTTTTTCTTCTGTTTCCCTTTCTTTCTTCTTCTTTTCTTTTGGTCCTACTCCTCCATCTTTTTCACCTTCTCTTTCTATTTCTATTCTTCTTTTGTTTCTACTTACACGAAATTTTTTCTTTTATCTAAAACAGCAAAAGGTTTGTCTAGAATAGTGCGAAAGATTTAACTGAAGCAATTAAAACTTTTGCTACTTTAGTGAAACCTATCGTAGTTGCAGGTAATTTTTTTCCCCATGATTATAATAATATTATTTCTATTTTTTAAAGATGTACATAGTTGTTTTGTTTTTTCAAAAAAATCTCAAATTTTCCCTATAAAAAAATACATAATTTTAATTAGGAAATTAAAAAAAAAAAAAAAAAATTCTTTTATATTTAATTCACGAAGACTTCATTGTATATATTAAAATGTTATCAAACGCAGTTATATAACGGTTACAAGGGTATGTGTTAATAGTATATATTCATTCTGTTCCCGCATGCCAATATCTAATTTGCGAAATGAAGTAGTAGAAGGCTCTCCTCGTATGATTAAAGATGATCTTTAACTTCCATTGACTTGATTTGATCTGGCGTGAAAGGCATGCGAAAAATCTCGCCCACTGGGCGTTAATGCGAAAGGATCGTTTATGATTGTTTACGTCGTAGATGATCCGTTAGGTGAATTCAAGGTGTGCCAAAGCTTTCGTAAATAACACATGTGTCGCATTCTTGTGCTCAAATATGAAAAATATTTTTTGGTTAAAAATAATAATAATAATTATTATTATTATTATTATTATCTGTTACTTATGATAATATTTCAAATGTAAATCTGTTAATAGAACAAGTTTTATCATTTAATTATTCTAACTAATGCTTTAAATTGAAGATAAATAAATGCGAACACTGAATCATAATTATGGGTTGATATTATATATATATATATTTCTTCTAAGCGTGAAGAATTGTTTATATTTTTCGTAAACATTTAAAATAAATACTGTAATTAATTAAATACAGGATAAATTAAAACGTTCTGCTCTAAGTATTCAAGATTTATTTTTACTTGACACAGTAAAAAAGGAACGTTGACGAGTAATTACGTTGAGGTGTATAACGACCTATGAGAAGAGACGTAAATAAGACTAGAATTTTCTTCACTATGACAATAATTATGTTGCACCTTGCTGTGTTCAGTCATAAAAAATGTCATCTCAAACTAACTTGAAATATATTTTTCTCATTTTGTCCCATCTTTTTTGTGTTGGTTCCTCTATTTTTAAGGAGAAGAATTTATTACGATGGATGTACTTGATTTTCCAATAGGAAAACGTAAGTATTTATATGGTATAATAGTATTTTTACATTTTGTATTATATTTGAATTCACTGATTTGAATTTATAATAATTTTAGTTAGATATAATTTTTTATATTTATATTTAAATATGTTTAACAATTGTAAGCAATTATATTTTCAATAAATTATATTAATTTATTTTCCCTTAGGGATTCTCAAATCTGTAAAGAAGATATTGATTCCATTTTTAGCGACAATTGCATTAAAATCATTGACTACAATGCTTTCTCAAATGGCGTATGGCTGGATTATGAATATCATTGTGAAAAAATTTAATCTTATAATGTCAGTGATTCATGGATTGAAAAGTTTATTTTTAATGAACCGTTGGAATTGGTATGATAATAATCAAGAGACACCATATTATGAAATTTCTTCATTCGAAAAACCTTTACACACGACAAATTTCCATTTTCCTCAAAAAGGACATTATTTTTCAAATTTTCACAATAATTGTCCTTGTCATGTTAATAATAAGAGACACAAAATATATCATCATTTAATGAATCGTTGGAGACGGAAAAAATTACGAAATTTTAAAGTAAAAAAATTTCCCAATTTTAAAAAATATTATCATCCTATATCAGATATTTTCTGAGTACAAAATTTGGAATGATGAAAAAAGACAAGATAACAATAAATTAAAGTAATAAATTATATTTATTTGATTCAAATAGTGAAGTGAAATTGAAGAAAATAAAAGTGAAAAACAAGTGTGTTTATTATAAAATTAAGACGAAAAAAGGAAAAAAAAATTTTTTTGGGAGAAAGGGAAGTTCATTTTTGGAATATATAATATGTTAATTGAAAAGAATTTCGTGAAAAAAATACTGAACACGTGGAGTTTGTATATATAGTTAAATATACAATACATTCAAATAAGTTCGTCCTCCTTTCCTTTCTCCTTATAGGATAACAGGATCGAAAGATGCATTCTCCCTATATATAATGGTCCTGATCTATTGGAGAGAGAATCGATGATTTTGTCATGGAGAAAATACTGACTTTCATTTTCTGTCAGACCACATCCTTTGGCTATTCTTAGCAACTGTGATTTACATTAATCGCTTATTATGTCCTTCTCAATGACTCGTTTTATACATTTAGCTAATAAAACTTGATTTTTATTAGATTCCTCTAAATGATTTGTGAAACTTCTAGAATTATTAATATTCATAAGAAAAGCATAATTACTTCTTTCTACCAAACCGCGAAGAAAAAAACAAACAAAAAAAGAAAAAGTTAGTAGGAAAAAAAATTTTATTTTTATGGAAAAAATAGAGGAATGAAGATGAGAAGCAATACAGCAAAAAGAAAAAAAAAGAAAAATTTAAAGATGAAATGAAGAAAAAATAAAAAGGAAAATAGAAAAAAGTGAATTAAAAAAAAAAATGAAATGAAAAAAGGGAAGGAAGAAATGTGTGAAAATGGAAAAGATAAACAGATGAGAAGGAAGTAGAAAATAAGAAAGATGTTATGTAAAAAGAAGAAATAAAAACTAATGAGAAGAAAATGGAAACTTAGAAAGAAAAAGAAGAAATTTTTTTTAACTGATTTGAAAAAGAATAACATCCAATTTCAAATGGTTTGATCTACAAACACTACGCGTAATACAATTTAATTTAATTACATTTCTTTAACATCACTCATTTATAATTAATGATCGTGAAAAGTATCAATTAAAGAATTTTATGATCCATTTCTTATTTGAGTTGGTAATTAACTATATATATTTTGATATACTGCCATTGAGTTAATTATAAGTAAACCATTTGTTTAATTAATTTTTCATTATGTCAAATAGTCATAAATAATTTAATTTAACACAATTATATATAATTTTAAATACCTAAAATTATTTATAATATTCATTGATAAATCGACAATGTTTATTTGACAAAATAATCTTTGTTTCGACGAAAAAAAAAATAATTTCATGTCAAAAACATATAACGATTATAATCTTCTATTTTTTAAATATTTTCATTTATATTATATTGAATTAAATCGCTATAATTATATCCCGCATATGACCTAGTGTCACACTTCAAGTAAAGTTTTTATGAAAAAAAATCTCACTATTTCAAGGAATGAGTGTTTCCATAAGAAAATCTATTCTTGTAATGACTGCACTTGACTTGAGCAGAAAAAAGAGAAAAAAAAAATAAAACTGATGAATGTAATGTGAAATTAAAGATACTTTTTAAGCAGTGCACATATTCAGAAAATTCATTGTATGCAAGAAATGTATGTTTTAACAGTAAATCTTACCTGTACGAAAACTTTTTTTTTAATCATCTTTCCTATAATTTATCTTCATTTTTAAAGTACGAATTATTATTTTTTATTTATATGCATTTAATTAATATAATTCTTGAAAATATATTCTTTTCAAGTGTCATAATAAATTGTTTAAAGTTTAAAAAACATGACAATCTAGATAAAAATGTTAAAAATTATAATTAATTTGTTTTGCTTAATTTAGTTTATAACTAAAAACTTTTATTTTCTAATTTTGTTACCAATTTTTCTACTTCCTTTTCATTAATGTTTAATTATTTTTCTTTTGTACTTATTTTAGTTACTCATGTTTGGTCCATTTGGACCACGGGAGCTGTGTATGTAAATAAATAAATAAATAAAAATTGTTTAAAGAGTGTAATTTGTGTTTTAAAAAATTGAAATTAAATATAGCGAACTTTACAATAAATACGGTAAAAAAATAAATAATAACATTGTAAAAACCAAATGTTTTTCATCTAATTTTTTGATAACATTTTTTTAATGTCAATCATTGAATTAAACCTTAATTACATTATTTACAAAATAACGAAATATGAGATTTAAAAAAAAAAATTTTGTTTTATTTAGATGCAGATTTTTCCTTAATTTATTAACATTAAATTATATTGTGATAATGAAAATATATATTAATTATTTGTATTAATTAACCCATATTCATAAAACCCATATTAATTCTAGCATCCAGCAATATTTGTCTCATAAATATTAATTTGTTATAAATAAACTTTATTTTCTATACAAATAAAAATTATTGATAAAAAGTTAACAAATTTCGGTTTTTAATAAGGATAGAAATTGAATTCTTTTTTTTCCTTAAAAAAAAATTAAGAATTAAACTTATTTCTATATCCTTTCTAAAAATCGAAAAAGTTTTTTAAATTTTATCAATTACAATATGAAAGAAAAAAATGTATATTCTACTTTAAATAAAAATTTTATTTGTGTCAAAGAAAGCTTTAATTTGAAACAAGTAAATAATTATTTAGCTCTTAGACAAGAAAACAGATGTTTTTTTATTTTTAATTCGACTGTAAATTATATTTGGAGTGAATAAAAAAAAAGGATAATATTAAGATATTTAAAAAAAATTTATTATAAACAAAGAACCTCACAATTATTTTCGATTATAAAAAAAATGAATAAAATAGAAATCAAAGAAATTTAACTTTTTCTTCTTAAATTTATCGAATTTTTTTTTCTGTACAAAGAATAAAAATAAGAGTCAAAAAATAAATTTTTTCAATGAAATTTATATTCATGGTGTATATGTATATTGAGTGAGACTTCCTCTCACGTTGATCAGGATGTAAACAAGTTATCGAATGTGCAATGTACACGTACGTCGACCGCAACAGCTCTAGTTATACTACTTGGGCCACACAGAAGAAATATATATGTATAGTATATACTGGAAATGGCATGAAGGGAAGTGGAACAGAAGAGAAAGGCATACGGAGATGAACTAGATTCTCTTAAAAAGAATCTTTGTCTTCCCCCACCCCTTTAATTTTCAACTCTTTCCCTCTTTTTTCGTCTTCCTTTTTTTTTTTGCTCCAAAAAATACACGTCTTTCTTATTTTTCTCTTTCTCCCATATCTCCATATAACTCTATCAACACATATATGTATTTATAATTCTAGAATGTTATCCACTCATGGTCCATCCTTTGCAACGATCACATATTCCGCATATTGTCGAGAAAAAACAATATTCTAAATTTAAGAATATCTTACAGTTAAAATATATTATATTTTTGAAATAAGCAAATCTCTTAATTTAAGAATATTTTAATTATCATTTTCTATTTTAAGAATAGTATACTCTTAAAATAAAAACATTTTTTCAATTAAAAATGGAATTGTTTTCTATTTTAAAAATATAATATATATTCTAACTGTAATAATGAAATGGTTATATTCTTGAATTTAGAATATTCTTTTTTCACATTCAAATCCATGCCACAGAAATATATATTAAAATTTGCATATTCCTTCCTTTTCGCGATTCAATTCGAGTAAGAGAATTGCCTCTATTATAATAATTAAAATATCTACCTGGCTTTTGTTTATAGTTAAACCGCATATTTTCTTCTGCTCCATTATATTAAAGAGTTTTTGAGACGAATCATCAGTGAGGAATTTATGTAGGGCTCTTAAAAGCATTAAAAATTGAAAGAGAGCATACAAAAAAAAAAGAGCGAAGAATAAGTTCGGCCGGTGATAAATCGATCGGCTCTCGTAACGCTCTAAAACCCATTGAAAATAAAATACGATAGGAAGCGCGAGAATGAACGAAAAACACTGATTTTAAAGAAACAAGTGTTCTCTTTTTTTCGGCAGATTTTCTTCTTTTAGATCACTATACAATCACCGCGTGTATAATATAAGAGGATTTGAGACGATTCCGTCATTTTCAATCTTATCTCCGCGACAGATCAGTTGTATATTTTCATTTCATATTTAAATTTTATTTATCTCTTTGGATTTACGTGACAATTTTGGTACCGATATAATGCAACGTTCAAATGTCATTCAAATTGGTTTATTGTTTGTTGTTTTGGTATTTTTCACGACTGATGTCAAGTGTAATTCGGTGAAAAATTTAAAGAAAAAAGATGGTTGGATGGGTTTTAGTATGTCATGTACAAATGAGGATCCACAGAATGTCTCTGTATCGTGTCATGGGGTGAGAATTGTGCGTCGGATCGTTCAACAATTATTGGAGAATACCGCGAAACAACGGAGTATTGAGCTTTTTGATGGTGTCACTTTGGTGGACACTAATGATGCAAAATCATCATTATCATCATCACGAAGTTCACGATTATTGATGGGACCAAAATCGATTTTACAGTTTTTCGATGGAAAGGAACTGAGGATAAAATTGCCGACATTTTTACCAGGAAATATTGAATCGGCTTTTAGGGCAAGTTTGCCCTCAGCTAATCAAGGTGAATTAATTTTTTTGTTTCATAAGAACGTTTGTTGGAAACAAAAAATTTGTTGTCTAATTTTATTAGTCACAGAAAAATTGATTTAATATTTCAATTTTCATTTTAAAATAAAAAAATTTGCGATATTATCTCTACTTTCTACATCTGAATTAATAATTCAATTACTTGATAAATTTTTGTATTTGCAAAATGTTTCTTTGAAAATGGGTAAAATTTTCTCTGTTTTCCGAAATGAAAAGTTTGCAAATTGAAAAAGACTTACTGAAAAAGAATTGTTTTTTTTAACTAATATTGAAAAATCAATAATATGAATATTAATTCTAGTAATTCTTGTTTTTATTACTAATTACAAATCTATAAAATATAATTAATTACTATTTTAGTACTTATTTTACATTTTTTTTTAAATAAATTTTTTTAATAAAGAAATGTTGGGGAAAAAAATTCTTATTGAAATTAGTAGATCATAAAACTGACTTTTGGTTAATATTTATCACGTTTAAACTAAACAAAAGGGAATTATTTGTAAAATGCAATTATAAAAAAAAATTATTTTGCAGCTCGTGGAGGAGGTGGAGGTGGAGGAGGGGGAGGTGGCAAAAAAGGCGATGGAGGTGTCATGATGATGGCTTTAATGATGGGTAAGTACTAAAATTACACATTTTATAATTTAAGAAAAATAAATATTAATTGCCAACAATTAAATAATGAATTAATAGGAAAATATACACTCAAGGTTGGACACAGTTTTTGACTTTGTTTATAATCTGTTTTTAAAAAATAAATTTAGTCAATTGAGTTATATTGTTAGAAAGATGTATAAAAGAGAAAAACTTTTGCTAAAGATCGTAAATTGATTGGTGTAAAATTAAAAAGCTTCTGATCATTTAAAAATAAAAAAAATCTCGTCAGGGTTGGACATTTTGTGAAAATTGAAGCGAATTACGAGTAAAGAAATAAAATAACATTTATAACGTTACTGAAAACGTTTTTTAAGTTCATTTTTAACGTTATTATTATTTTTCTAATATCAATAGCAGAATATGTGCTGTGTGTGGGTGCGTCAATGTTTATTTATATATTTATTTATAAATTGTGTCAAATTCATAATTAACAAAGTGTCAAATTCATAATTAACAAAGTGTCCAACCCTGAGTGTAGAAAGCGTCCAACCCTAAGTAGAAGTAACATTTTGGAATTGTGCTAACCATAACAAGACATGTTTCGCGATTCGATTTTTCACTTCATTTTTTCTTCAATCATGAACCCCACAATACATGCAATAAACTTCTCTTGTCGATTTCTTATTTTCTTTATTCATTTTCTATGTTTAATCACATCGCTCACAAAACTTTTTTCGTTCCTACAAATGCACCGACGTCACAGCAGACGCTACTTTTGATCCTCCAAAAATGTTGTTGCAGCAAAAAGTTAGGTTTCACTACGAGAAACTTCGTTATGTCTATGTATAGATGGCGCTAGTGTTCTTATTTTAAGAAAAGCGAAGTGTCTAACCCTGAGTATATTTCCCTAATAAATTATTGTATTAATAATTAAATAGTAAATAATAATAATAATAATAATAATAATAATAATAAAATAACAATAATTATAAAAAATAGTTACTAAATATTTAAAATTTGAAATTTAGGAAAAATGATGATGGCCCTTGGCTTCAGCGCCCTGGGAGCTTTAGCAATGAAAGCCCTGATGGTCTCATCTTTGGCGCTGATGCTGTCATTGATAACTGCAGTGAAGAAACTCTCAAGTAAAGATGACAAGGACGAACATCATGTGGTCTATGCGCAGGAAGTTGCACATCATCGTCGCAGGCGAAGTGCATCATTTGACAATGACCTTGAATTCTCACCTTATCGAGGTCATCAAAATTTAAAATTAAAATTATCGTGACAATAATTTTGTAACTTGTAGCGAATTTCGTTAGTATTTTTCTTCCTCTTTTTTTTTTATTTAAAACGCATGATTAGGATTTTAGCCATTATAATGCGTTTTCGTGCTACTGATTGCGGTGCATTAGTGACAGTAAAACAGAAATAATATTGGGGTAACTGTAAAGTAACAGCAACAATGACAAAAGTACTCGGCTACATAGACTGAAATAATAGAAAGTGACATTTTTTTTTTTTAGAAAATAAGCTCTATACATGTTCCTATTTATTATACAAGGTAATCATTAAGTTCCGAATTGCCCTAAAAATATTATTTTCGTCTTCTCCTATTTATTATTATTGTTGTTATTATGTCATTCTGGCTTTTGTTATTATTATTTATATATAATAAATAATAATACCTAATTATAATAATAATTAAATTAAAAATGTAATATAAAATCATAATTAAAAAAAAGATTATAGTGGGTACAAAACTTAATGATTATCCTCGTCACATCAGTTAGAGAATTGTGATTCTTTTTACGATTGAGAATGTTGTTTTATGGTGGATGAATTTTTTATTGTAATAGATATAATAATTAATTCGATGACTTATTATACGGACTTGTAACGAATTCCCAAAGACTAGACGAGATTACTTTTCTTAGATTATTATTATTATTATTATTATTATATTTATAAATTGGGAAATTAGCAACAATTATTTTATTTATTATTTATTTTAGTTCTCTGTAGGTTCTATTTAATAAAAAAAAGTCATTTTGTCATTTTATCAAGTCATTGTTATCTGCTTTTTTAATTATAATTAGAAATTCTTTGTGTGTGTTTATTATTACCTATTCTCATTTAATTGTTATAATTATCGATTTATCGATTAGGCTCAAATTTTTTTCATCGTTTTGTACCCTCCAAAAAAGAGTTTCATGATTTTTTTCAAATTTTTTCATCAAGCCGTTCACGTTTTAATTTTTCAAAATTAGAGAATTTTAATTATTTTTCATTTTTGAATGCTCATATAATTTTTTTTAAAAATGCATCAATTTTAAAAGTTTTTTTTTCAAAATTTTTTAATTTTTGTGTTTTATTTTAAAGATTGTTATTTCAAGTACTGATTTGTAATTACCATTGTTTTTAACAGCTAATTTATATTATTATTAAAAAATTCATTTGATTGAACAATAAAATATAGTTGAACATCAAAATAATTTATTTATTTGAGGAAAGATTAGGAAAAAACAATAAATAATGGACAAATAATGAATAAAAATAACATTAATTTAAAAAATAAAATTTAAGGTAAGAATAAAAAAAAAAAAATTTTTTTTTACGCAAAATCTGTTCGTTTTCTTTCCATGAATCAAGGTGAAATTTAATTTGCCAACATTTTATAGTAAGTGCTCTTTGCTCACCTTGTTTGTATATAATTGAAGGTGCAGGAATTCGATAGTATAATGGAATGAAGAAATAATGTTTTATCAGAAGACGATGTGTCAGCTTAGAATGATTAAAGAAGGGAAGTTGTAAAAGAGGAACAGATCAGCTAATGAGGAAAGTATGTCAGTGACCTGTCCCAAAACGACCATCATCAAAACATCTGCCTATATGTCCACACATATTTTCTATTTATTTCCCCCTCATATACATTGAGTCAATTAGTTGCTGTTGCTCATCAAGTTTATAAATTTTTCATGAAAAAAAAAAAAACAAAAAAACATTTTTGTCATTTATTATCGATTTGCAAAATAATAAATACTAATAAAGAAATAAGTTAATTATGATAAATTTTAAAAAATTTAAAGAATTTATCTATTTGCTATATAAATTAAAAAGAACAAGTGAAACTAAATAGTTAAGAAAATGACAAGAATAATTAATTGTCCATTTTAAATTTAGAGATAAATTAAAAATCAAGGGAGATAATTTTTTTTAATTTTTATAAAAAAGATCAGATAATTGAAATCATCAATAATTCTTTAGTGAGAGGAGGAAGGGAGGGGATTCATCTCGATTCCAAGATAAAAGAGAAGGAGAGAGAGATTTCTCTCGTGGTTATATATATATAGTCAATGCGAGTAGATTGGTCGAAAGGAAATTTGAGACTATGTAAAAGATTTCTTTGATAAAGTAGCTATATATATATAAAGTGGGAGAGGTGAAGAAAGAGAAAGATTTTCATGCGGACGTCTATCTGCTGTCCTACTCCGCGTGTACTCTCTCCTTTTTATTATAGCTTCAGGATGAAGCATATAGTAGGGAAAAGACCGAGACCCAGTGACACACATTCCACCATACACTTCCTTTTTTACGTTTCGAATATCATAAAATGAGAAGGTGCCACCATGCAACAGCGCAGACGACGATGTGGCTTGCTTCTGCGTACACACGCGTGCGGATAAGCAATTTTCATTTGCGACAAATTGCCGCACAAATTCTTTCTCAAATTGTCCGCTATATTTAAAAAAAAAAACAACAAATTTTTCGCGTAAATTATTTCTTATTTCATTCTTTGAAAAAGAAAATTCTTTTTCTCAATTAAAATTAATTGCATTTTATAAGTTGTAATTAAAATCTTATTCTGAATTTTATAATAAACACTTCTGCAAAAAGTAAAATTGAAAAAAAAATTTATTTTTAAATTTAATTTATTAAAAAAAAATGTATTTACTTTACTATAATAGATCGATAATTACAAGGAACATGTAAAAAACAAAAGATTATCACCAACAAAAGCTTCATATTTTTAAAATTGAAAACACAATTTTATAAATCAATAATATTGAAAAATTAATTTTATCGAAAAAAAAATAAATTATAAAACATAATCCAATCTGCAAAATTTTTCTAATAAGCATATTATTTTTTTTTTGTAATTTAAATTAAGTAAGAATTTTTGACATATTTCAAATATTAAAGATAATTTATCTCCAATTAATATCTTTATTTTTTTTGTTAATTTTGATTGTTATTAATATTAACTATTAATCAATTTTTCTTCAAATTTATCAGAAACTTATTTCTCAAGAATTTGTTTTTGTTACACCCAGATACATTAATTTTTAATCGAAATAAATATCTAATTATTTGAATTAAATAAAAATAAATTTATCTCAAGACAATATAAATAACTAAATAACAAATAAATATTTAAATAAAACTTTCAGAAAAATTTATTTCTCTCTGGGTACAGGAGAAAAATTTTATATAAAAAACTTTTTTATTCATTTCAAAATCAGAGAAAAATAATTTCGTATATTTAATTAAACAACTTGATCATTTATTTTTAATTACATACACGCAAAAAAAATTTATTTGATTCAAATACTCAATTAGGGGAGACCGGGGCTGTTTGACGCAGGAGTTGCTTGGCGCACTTGAGTTTATTCAAAAATGTTAAGTTTAATTAATTTTTCTCTTTATTCAAATTAAAGTACTTGATGAACTGTAAGTTTGTACAAAATTTCATTAATATTCATTAATTATTGTGGAGTATAGATTAAAATAACTGATTTTGGCACTCCAAAGTAATTTTTTAACCTCTTCATTTTTTTGTTATATCTCTTTAAAAAATTAATTTTAGAAGAGGTCAAATATCAAGTTTTGAGCTCTATACATTTGTTATTAAGAAACAAAAAAATTTTTTTGATTTATATTAACAGTTTTTATAAAAAATTAATAAATATTTCAAAAGTACATTCGGGGTTAAGTGGCGCGGTTATCTGAAAATTTCGTTAAATATTAATAAAATGAAGTTGATTATATGAAATTTACACATTAATACGCACCAATAACAATCCTTTTCAAAAAATTTAACTGAATAATGGGTTTTCGCAAATATTCACAGCGTAATTATCAAAAAATACATACAGTTTTTGAAAATTTTACAATTTCATAGAAAATGCTTTTAATTTAAATGAAATTTTCTAATTTTTAAAATAATTTTATTGTAAAATTACAGTACAAGACTTATTTCGTTAATTCTTATATTGTTTAAATTTTAAATCATATAATTTAATTAACCCCTTCGCAGTCCAGTTAAAAATCGCTGGTGGGCCTAAAACGGTCCGAAAAAAAAGTTTCCAAAAAAATATGACTTCATCATATTTAAGGTTTTTGTGGTCGCTGAATTCGAATTTGAGGTCAGTTTTTCAAAATTCAAAATGGCGGATCCAATATGGCGGACAAATTTTTAAAAAATCAATCCAATTTGCCTGAAATTTGTTACTCGGGGGTTTTTGGGGTCGCTAAATTCAAATTTGAGGTCAATTTTTCAAAATTCAAAATGGCGGATCCAATATGGCGGACAAATTTTTAAAAAATCAAACCGATTTGCCTGAAATTTGTTACTCAGGGGTTTTTGTGGTCGATAAATTCAAATTTGAGGTCAGTTTTTCAAAATTCAAAATGGCGGATCCAATATGGCGGACAAATTTTAAAAAAAATTTTTTAAAAATTTGTCCGCCATATTGGATCCGCTATTTTGAATTTCAAAAAACCGACCTCAAATTCGAATTCAGCGATCCCAAAAACCCCCGAGTAACAAATTTCAGACAAATCGGATTGATTTTTTAAAAATTTGTCCGCCATATTGGATCCGCCATTTTGAATTTTGAAAAACTGACCTCAAATTCGAATTCAGCGACTACGAAAACCCCCGAGTAACAATTTGTGGTCAAAACGCATTAATTTTTAAATTATCCGCCATATTGGATCCGCCATTTTGAATTTTGAAAAACCGACCTCAGATTCGTAATCAGAGACCCCGAAAACCCCTGAGCAACGAGTTTCATGTAAATCTGATAAATTTTAAGTTTTTATGGTCGCCATTTTGGGTCCGCCATTTTGTTTTTTTGAAATCTGACTTCAAATTTGGATTCAGCGACCCCAAAAACCCCCGAGTAACAAATTTCAGGCGAATCAAATTAAATTTAGTATTATTTTTTTGCGATGGCCATATATGGCCACTTGCACAAAGGTGGCACGACTTTTTCTGGCCACATATGGGCCCTGGACTGTCAAGGGGTTAATTTCAATCCTGCGCCATGCAACCCCGGATAGTGTGCAGCTTTGCACAGCTTCAAATAAAGTGGTATAAAAAGAAAAGTATTAAATATATTGTAACTTTCTTTTTTTTTAAATTAAAGCTAAAATGTTACAAGTTTTCCATACAATAATTATTTAAAAAAGGCAAAAAAAAGTGAGTTACACAACAAAGAGTAAAAAGTGCGCCAAGTAACCCCGGTCTCCCCTACTTGACTATTATCAAATAAATATTTACTTGAACCAAATAATTTTTATTTGAATTAAATAAATTATATTTGAACCAATAATTTCTAAATTTGAAACAAATACCATTTTATTGACTCAAATAATAATAATTTATTACAAATAAATATTTATTTGATAATATTCGCAAGTTATTGAGTAGTTGAATCAAAAAATTTTTTTTTTTCAGTGTAGATATAATTTAATATTACATAATAAATAAGTAATTATATTTTTGATAAATATACATATATTTTTTTGGTAAGTTAAATATGTAACGTAATTTGTATAATTAAATTACGGTTTCATAATTATTATAATTTCTTGTTAATAGAAGAAACTATTAAAAAAAATTAAGTTAGTTTGGTGTTAAAATAATGAAATAATCTTAAGATTTTTTTGTCAATATTGTTGATAATAATAATAATAATAATAATAATAATTATTATTATTATTATTATTTTTATGAAAATTTTTTTGAAAAACAACAAAGAAATCGCATTAAGAAAATCTTTATATTCATTATTTGTCAGTTTCTTTGAATATATGTGACAAGAGAAAGACTACAAATAGTAAAGGTGGGTTGCCTAACATCAGGCGATTTGTGATGAAATTGTTTCATTTTGTCTTTCTTCGTTTTAAATGAAAGAGTAAATGACTATTTTTGTTATAAAAAAAAAATAGAATTTACAAATAAACTCCTTGTCATATATTTTAAATAATCTAATATATTTTTTAATTGATGTAATAAACTAGAAATTTATGAAAGATGAAAAAAATATAAATAATTGACAATCTAGAAAACTTACAAATGTTAAGAGAATAAATAAATACATTTCTATAAAAAGAAATAATTTTTTTTTTAATATTAGAATGTGTTTTTTGTTTTTAATAAAACCGTTTATTTATTTGTTCAAAAGATCATATGAGACAGATTCAATTTTTTCCTCAGTTAAAGATTTGTTATATTATAATTTATTAATCAATTATTCATATTTTGGAGATTAATTTTTTATTTAAAGAAAACAATTTTTTTTTTTCAGAAACGATTGAGGACATTTTTTTTATTAAAAGAAATTCAATTTTTATTTAAAAAAAATTAATTTTCTTAGCAAAGTGTAATACTCACTATATTTAAGTAGAAAAAATGCAGTTTAGTCAGGCAAAATTAATATTTTCAATTCGTGTCTATTCAAATTTCAGTGCAATAAAGTGTTAACTCAGAAAATTGGTTTATATGGTGTCTATTGAAAATTTCGTGCAATATAGTTCTTATTCAATTGTTTGTGCAATATAGTGATAGTTCAAGTTGAGGGTAAAAAAATGTTTATATTTAATCGTCAATTTAATATAAAGCTTACATTAAAATAAATTTTTATTTTATTATTGAAACTGTTTAAAAAACATATTATTATAATTACATGAATTTCTAAAATTAAATGAATAATATAAGATCCTTTTTAGAAAATATGTTTATAAAAAATTGATTAGGTAATACAAAAAATTGATTTAAAAATAAATATGAGATGATTTAAAATTTAAAACAATAAATTAATCTTATTGCTCTATTTTATTCATTAAACGTTATTGACAAAAATAAAATTACTATTTTTATTTTTACACTATTAATTTATATGAATTTATTTAAGTTTTTCATTAAATTTTTATTATTTATTCATTTTTAAATTAAGAATTATATTTAATTTTTTAATTGACGATTTATTCAAAAGAATTAATTTTTTAATCATTTTAAGGTTAAAAATACTTTATAATTTCATTTCTACAATTTTTAACATAAATTTTTGTGTTATGTGCATTACATTACATATTATATTTCTGTACATTTTTCATTCGTAAACTTATAAAAAATATATATAAATTATTTAAATAAGCTTTATATTGAATTGACGATTAAATGTAAACATTTTATTACCCTCAACTTGAACTATCACTATATTGAACAAACAATTGAATAAGAACTATATTGCACGAAATTTTCAATAGACACTATATAACCCAATTTTCTGAGTAAACACTTTATTGCACTAAAATTTGAATAAACACATTATCATTAGGAGACGTCGAATTATAAGCAAAGTTAATACGAAAAATAACAAGAATTTGTTCTTAAACAATATTTATTTATTCAATTTTTAGTTTAAACGTTAATATTCGAATCGTTAATGCGAACGATAAAAAAATTTTTTATATCTTTTGTTTTATTATTTGCACGGCGCCGTAGGGTCTATAACGGCTTAAAAGAAACACGAAGACGAAAACGATGAAAATAAAGTGACAAAAAGTCCTTAACTTTCATTTGGCCTAATTGAAACAATAATGAAAATAAAAGTTGCACTACTTTCTAGACTTATATAATGAACGTCTATAGATGATAGCATAAAAATATATATATATATATATATATACCACTTATTTATAATTCACATCATTTTATGCAAAACACAAAAATATTTTTTATTTATTTATTATTGTTAAATAAATAATAGTAATAATAATTCTAGTGAAAAATCAAAAAATGGATTTTTTTTACTAATAAAGAAATTAATCGACTTAATTTTTTAACACCTATCTTCACGACAGGACCGAGGGTGGATAAAAGGGCTCCCAAGAAGGGTTGACGGGTTTTTAGTGGGTATCTAAAAGGTATCTGTATAGAGATTTCCCAATAGTCCCTAAAAAAAAAAAATTGTTAAATAATGAACTTAATTATTATTTTAGATTTTAATTCAGAATAAAATTAGGTATTAAAATTAAATCATACTTGATTATTTATTTATATCACACTGATTCGGGCACACATCACATAGCAAAAAGAAAAGGAAGAAAAAGAAGAAGAAGAATCTTTTTCTATGTTTGCGAGAATGGGACCCGTTACATTCCACACTTATTACAATCCTGGGCGGAAATTTGAATTTCAAATCGGACACTGGCTACTCTCAGAGTCACATATGATTTTTCTGGTCGTGTGAGGTGTCGCCTATGTATGTATCTATATGATCTCACTGAAAATATTCATCCACATTTCGATATATAGTAATCGACTGTGTCATCAAGAATTCATCACATGATCCGTGTTCTTAAATTTTATATATAAAGATATTTTACAACTTACGCTCTGCTCATTGAATAATGAAACGATTTTCTACTTTGGATGAAAACTTATCAGGCCATTTAAATGCATTAAAAAGTAGGGATTTTTATTGTCCATTCTCTCTTTAAGTATCGGTGAAATTTCTAATTTACACATATTTGACATTTTGTGTCAAGACGCATGAAATTATTTTCACTTCTTTCATTTATTTCTTGTTTTCTTCCTTTGTTTTTTTTATAATTAATTTTCTTTCTTATTTCATCTTTTTTTTAGTATGACAATTATTTTATTTTTCTTTCTTTTTTCAGTAATTCGATTCTTTTATTTCTTCTTTCTTCATTTAGAAAAAAATCTCAATTCCTTGATAAAGGTATAATAATAAAATGTTTAAATTATTTTTCTTTATTTGTTTTATTATATTATTTTCTTTTCGCTCTTTTTTTGATATAATTTAAAATTATAGAATAATATTAAAAATTTCTGTATGAAAATTAGGGCAGAATAGAATAAAACTGTATAAAATAAAAGTAAAAGTGAAATTTTAAAAAATTCAAAAAGGCACCTATAGAATTTAAATTGATCCTTCATGCAGGATGCATAAAGGATTTTTGAAACATCTTTTGAAGTTATATGGGAAAACATGATTTTTATTATTTCCGGTCTAAGTTTTCAGGATCAAAGGAAATGAAATGAAAATGACAAGGCAACAATCTTCAAGTTTACGCAAGGTCAGAGTAGAAAGTGGAATTCGCATCGACACAAGTAGCGCGATTGAAGGTCGTATCCGGAATATTTGAACCTGATATACATACACTATTTACCAGTTTTATTTAATTTATAATATATACTGAACGTATTTTGTATCCGCTTTGGTAATTTACTGACAGATATATAATTCACATAAAACGTTTAGAATCCAAGACACATGACCGCGGTCATTGAACAAAAGCTTTCGCAATGTCTAATAACAAGTTTTATTAAATATAAACCATTAATCACTATATAATAAGTTATGTTTAAATATTTATTTGTTTCAGATAAATTTTATTTGGTTCAAGAAAATTTTTTAAAAATGCATATATATGTCAATGTCAAATAAAAATATTAAAACAAAGGGTCATTCCATTATATTTTATCTGAAGTCGTTGCGGCTTCTTTTTAGAAAAATCTGATAATTTGTAATAATGATATTTAATATCCGTACAATTCATTTTTGGCAAATTTTTTATAAAATTATTTGTATTTGCTTTGGAATTTTAATTTTTAAGTTGAGGTGCACGGGAAAAAGGTTATTTTGACAGCTTTGGAAATTTAATCAAAAAACACAAAAATAATTTAGATAGAATAAATTTTTTGTTTGATATATATTCAAAATAGTTCAATTCTCGAGGCGAAATTTAAGCCCTAATTTACAAGGAGTAAAGTAGAGTTAAACAGACCCTCTTTAGCTTCCTCAACTAGTCGCAAATTTCCCTTTCTTCCACGTTTGGATTTAAAGTAGGGTCTAAAAATTGATTAAAATATTGAAAATTTTGAAATTGCTCTAATTCTATTAATTTTTTGAAAACGCTTCAAAATATGTTAATTCCAGTTTTTAAAGGGTAATTAAAGAAATATTGTGTGAAGAAAAAATTCATTTTGCTTTAATCAAAATAATTAAAAGAGTTTTTTTTTTGCATTTTTTTGTACTTTTTTAATCGAACTAGACCCTCTTTAGCTTCCTCAACCAGTCGCAAATTTACCTTTCTTCCACGTTTGGATTCAAAGGAGGGCCTACGGGAGTCTACAAGATCGTAAAGAGGGCCTATTTAGGTTCTAAGGGAAGCTAAAGAGGATTCAAATTTCGCCTCGGGTTTACTTATTTTTTTTATGGTTTTATTCATTTTTGAAAATCAGCTTCGAAAAACGAAATTGAAGGTTAAAATGCAAGTGGTTCTGCGATGACTGAAGTTGGCTGTCTTGATATCGATGTATTTGATTAAATTCAAATTTTAGTTTGCAAATAAGATTTGAACATTAAAATTCATAATAATTCTTTAAAAATATTATTTATAAGATTTATTTAAATCATTAAAGAAAATATAATATTAAAAATTGCTTAGTAAATAAAATTTTGATTTTTATTATTTTTTACATCATTGGGAAATCTTATGAATGACATTTAAAATTAAATAATTACTTCAAAGTAAATTTTATTTAAAAAATTTATTGGGAGTTAATTGTGAGGAGCAATTAATAGTAATTGTCATATATTAAATACTAAAGTATAACTCCCAATAAATTTTTTAAATAAAATTTACTTTGAAGTAATTATTTAATTTTAAATGTCATTCATAAGATTTCCCAATGATGTAAAAAATAATAAAAATCAAAATTTTATTTACTAAGCAATTTTTAATATTATATTTTCTTTAATGATTTAAATAAATCTTATAAATAATATTTTTAAAGAATTATTATGAATTTTAATGTTCAAATCTTATTTGCAAACTTAAATTTGAATTTAATCAAATACATCGATATCAAGACAGCCAACTTCTGTCATCACAGAACCACTTGCATTTTAACCTTCAATTTCGTTTTTCGAAGCTGATTTTCAAAAATGAATAAAACCATAAAATAGCTCGAAATCCATCGCCAAAATTTGACAGAATGGAAAAAAAGGTCTAACTTAAATATTAAGACAAAAATTGGATTTTTTTATTTTGCACCTGAGGAGATACAAGTGTTCAAAATCACCGAAAATCCTGGAAAGTTCAACATTCAAAGTAAAATTTTTCCTATTTCTACTACATAATATTAAAAAGTCAGCGCATCATATGAAACTACATTGAAAGTACTTAATATTAAGCTGTAATAATTTTTTAAATATTTATTAACTTTCTAGAAAAATGTAATAAAAATATGGTGAATTTTGGCATTTGACAGGCAAGTTTAAAAATCAATTTTCATATAATATTTTGGACTTTTTAACATAGAAATCAATTAATATAAGTAAATTGGACTATTTTGAATATATATCAAACAAAAAATTTATTCTATCTAAATTATTTTTGTGTTTTTTGATTAAATTTCCAAAGCTGTCAAAATAACCTTTTTTCCGTGCACCTCAACTTAAAAATTAAAATTCAAAAGCAAATACAAATAATTTTATAAAAAATTTGCCAAAAATGAATTGTACGGATATTAAATATCATTATTACAAACTATCAGATTTTTCTAAAAATAAGCCGCAACGACTTCAGATGAAATATAATGGAATGACCCCAAATAAATAATTTATTAGCTTTGAGAAAGGAATTTTTATTTAATTTAAGAAAATTATATTATAGATACGAATCAAAAATTTCTCTTGGTGCAAATGAATAAAAATAAAACTTTTTTTGATTGGACATCTTGTGATAGTAGAATATATTATATATTTGACAAAATAGATATTCAAAATAAACTAGTGTGAAAAATTTCATTCCACTAAAGGTCAAAAATTATGGATAGAACGTGTATTGTTTTAAAATTTTTAGTTTTTATTAAAATCAGTTCTAATTTGTTACGCTATATTTTTCTGGTATTTAATAAAAGGCATCCTAACGCAGAATTTTATCTTTGCATACAAAATTTCATTGAGAGAATTTTTTTTCATTTGAATTAACCCCTTCACTGTTAGAAAAAAATTTGATGTCCCAAAATGTCCAACAAATTCTGGTCGACAAATTTTTATGAAACTTAGTATATAAGGGTTTTCTGGATCTCTAAATTCAAATATGACCTCAAAAAAAAAAAAATAATTAAAAATGGCTGATCCAAAACAGTCGCAATTTTTTTTAAATTCATGCGGAATTTCATGAAACTTGTAATGAATGTATAATGATCAAATAAGTGTTGGATTAGCTCGCCAGATCAGGGTTCGTTTTTAAGCAACGATATTACATTAAAATTACAGACACATTTCGAAAAATAAAGTTTATTAACAAAAAGACATAACCTAAAAATTACATATTAACAACGCAATTACAATAAAATGTATGATATGAAACAATTTTACAAATACGACGAGAACAATTTAAATACAAAACGAATAATCAAAAATACGGATTACATTACTCTACGTTACGTTACGTTCCTTAGGCCGGAGGAACGAAAGCGACGACGAACAACTGCGCCAGGGGGTTACATATACGAAAAACGGGAACGCAAAAATGCAGTAAAACTGCTTCGTTATCTACAACGGGTAATACCTCGTTGAGACGAGAGAAATACTCTCATTGGATACATCGGATTAATGCTCCTTACTACACTAAAACCCCGACTTACGCAACCCCGTTTTACGCGAATTCGGAGATACGTGTTTTTTTATGGCCGCGCGAATTAACTCGTAATTAATTAATAAATAATTTATTATTGTTTTTTACGTTGTTTTTATTCATAAAAATGTAAATAGTTTTATTACTTGATATTTTATTAAACATATTTCTTATAAATTCTAAATTATTGTATTTATTTTATATGAAAACTTAAACCCCGATTTACACGAATTCGACTTACACGGCCGTCGCACGGTCTTACCTATCGCGTAAGTCCTGGGTATTACTGTACTGGGCTACTGGGAAATGCCCCAGTGTGAGCAGCTTATATAGGCGATCGGTGGACAGGACGCTTGCGAGAGCTCGACAATATAGCTCGCGCGGCGCGATCGGGTACTACATCGCTCATTACAATCGGTAACTTTTTTTATCGACATAGGGTTAATTATTTAATACAAATATTTACCCGCGAATTTTCAAAAAATTCTTTACAAACTTAGAATATAAAGGTTATATTATAACATCAAGTTCCATTTAAATTCCTTAAAATTTTAAAAATTCCCTAGAAGCACGTAATATATTCTCAATATCAAGGTAATATTACACGTGAGATTCGTAATATAACGCTGTAATATTACAGTAATCTTACAGTGATCTTAAAATGTCCGCCTCAATGTAATATTACCGGGAATCCCGAGGCGAAATTTGAATCCTCTTTAGCTTCCCTTAGAACCTGAATAGGCCCTCTTTACGATCTTGTAGACTCCCGTAGACCCTCCTTTGAATCCAAACGTGGAAGAAAGGTAAATTTGCGACTGGTTGAGGAAGCTAAAGAGGGTCTAGTTCGATTA